GAACACCACATTCATTGTCTTCCTTAATCCTGCAGAAAATAGAGATATATTTATTGTTTTAGATAATTATTTTCGTTTATAGAGGTCTAAAGTTTTGAATATCTAACCATACGATTATTTACACTTCCATAATTGCATACCTTATAATTCGAGGTCATCTACCACTGGGGCTGCATCCTGCCCAAATACGTAAGCCGGTAGATCCGTTATTGGCAGGTCAACTGTTGTTATATTGTCACTTGGCTGGAACAATAGACTTGGGAAGTCATTTGTTCCCCGATCTGTATACACGTCAATGATGAACTTTGCTTAATTAAAATTATGAAATATACATCTCAAAATGTTAATATTTAATTATATTTAATCTACTTAAAGTTGTAATGTAACTAGGCATTTAATCTGATAGATTGTTATATTTTATTTATCAACCCCTACATTATTTTGTAGATATATGTATAATATCTTAGTTGTCTATATATTACGTTAGAAATCTATATTGTTGAATAACGCGGTAAGTGTAAATGTAGACCCGTAAGTATTTACTTAGTGCTTAAAAATCATTTTAATAATTTAAAAAAAAAAATTTCTTTACCTGTTCTTCCAATGCTTAACACTAAGTTCATTGTCGGGCCTCTACTGCTGCCACCAGTGTCTGACTCGTCTTGTGAATCGACCAGAATGTCTAAAGATCTACTTTCACTTGTATCACCGCATAACGATTTGTACCGCTTCAAACCCGAAGATAGAGCTCCACTATCTCCACGGTGAGTGTCCCCTAGCCAAGCAATGGACTTCTCTTTTCTTGTATCTCCTTTTTCTGGCTGCGGCTGTGTGAGGACGATGTTGTCGGCCAGTGACTGAACTCTCTCAACACTTCCACTACTTTCCTTCCCATGACCCTTAACCAACTCTGCGTATGCAAAACCATGGTTCACCGGGATGACGCTGAAGTCATCTATTTGGAGTGTCATGTGCTTTGGTAGTGGGACTACATACAACTTCAGCTCGTGCAAATCTACACGCATTGCCAGAACATATCCATCTCCCCGTCATCGCGGATATGAATCGGGACTGGTTTGATCTTTCCGTCGTTGTCCATCCACTACGGCATCTCGTAGGTAAGCTCGATGTGTTCTTCTTTATCATTGATTCGCAGCTCCTTCATCACCTTTGACCGAACTGCCTCTACTCCTTCTCCTTCAAGAATTTTTATCCCTTTGCTCAATCTTTCTTCCAAGCGTACAAACTTCCACACACCATCTACATTTTTTCTCCGCCATCCTTGTTCTACCCGAACTAGGTCGCTGAGTATATCGCTAAGAGTAACCATTGATGTTTCACCTGCAATAAATTATTGAAATATATTAGTTAACTATTTTTTTACATTACAGATTAAGTTCTTACGTAGATGTACATATTATCGTTACCTGTTTACAGAATATGATGAACACGCACAACTGTTTGTATCACCAACTCTTTTTTATTTTCTTTCTATTCTTCGTTGTACCGGTCTACAAATCTTGGGGAATTGCCATCTTATTTATTGGGGTTCTAAACATAGGGCTTCGCCCAAGACACACATCTCCTGTCCAACACACAGATGTTCTTAATTGTATTCAATGCGTTTCCCTTCATTTATCACAACTACCTACTTGTCTCTCGGCTTGCGTCACGCCGTCTTTCAGTCATTTCTGCCTCGTTCCCCCACGCGCAAGAGATACAAACCGCGTTTGTATTTATGAAAGAGAGTGATTTTGGTCGTACCCTTTTGTCATTCCCTTAATGAAGAAAATTTCTTTGTTGGTTTCCTAATAAGTATTTAAAGTTTTGTCATTCACCAAATTCACTCTTGAATTTATATCACTCTTCGTTAATTGCAACTATCAAAATTTGAATCGTATTTTCTATATAAAAAAGGTGACACAATTACGTTAAAGTTGGGATGTTTCTTCTCCACTGTTTTGGAATATCAATAAACATTTACAATTGAATAACGTAATCGTCAAATGATCAATCAAACATTTAACAATTAAGTGAAATATTTTTGACAAGCTTACTATTGAAACCAATTGATTGAAAACGTAAAACTCATGAATATTCTGAATCACCAAAAGATCATTTAACAATCACTACTTATAAACCCACAACGGAAATTCTTTCTTCGTATCAAACAAATAAACGCATGACATGAGAAACAAAGTGTGATTTAGAAGAGAATTTCTCAGAAACCATTTACGATGTTTTTCTAATCGCATAAGAGCAAATCAGAAACAAAACTACTTGGTAGCCTGAGCAATTATATTACTTATGGAACTAGCCTCCTCTTTTGCAGCCTCCACCAATTGATCCTTCAAATATCAGAACACACATATCATTCATACGATAACCTTAAGTAGTAGTAATTCTTTGTCTCAGTGGGCATTAAGATTAAGAAACCATACCTGAGCTGAAATTATCCTTGCAACTGTTTTCTTGCTCGATTCTTGAAGCTCCCCGGCTATCAACAGCTCATCCAATATATAATATGCCTAGAGCAAAAACAACAGAGTTCCGAAAAATGTCAGAATGAAGTATAAAATACAGAGAGAGGAAAAAATCATTTTTTTTTGTTCACTTAGAATGTCCTGAAGAGTTTGTTGTATGTATATACCTTGTGGAAGTTAAAAATCAGATCGAGTTCACACACCTGAGGATCATCGAATAACAACTCATAATCAAAATCTAGACATTATGCAAGAAAATGGTAGAATGAAGGAATAGGTTATGGATATGCGTTTACTCACACTGCCAAAGTAACGGTCAAGAATCTCGACGTAGTGATGAATTATCTCCAGTACCTCTAACTCGTTATCTGCCTCATCAATGCACATGCAGAAGTACAAGCTTGCATATCTGCACAAATACATAACCATCATGTTCATATAACCAGTGTTGTTAAGTGGCGCAAGAATAAGCTGAGTATATAAACATCGATTCAGCCATTTTTTTACCTTTTGTAGACAACTTTGTATCCTCTCCATTCGATAAAATTGCAGAGCTTGGGACCTCGGTTCAGAATCACGCTGCTGAGTTCGCGTATGACCTATCCACGTCATGTTTCCCAATATAAGATAAAAAAAGGCATGCATAGCATAGCATAACTCGGAGTAAGCTCAAATAACACTTGAGAGATGTACATACCTTAGATCTTTCCTTCTGTGTATAAGGCGAATACCACTTGGTGAGCCTCACTTTTCCTTGCCGACTAACTAGAAGCACAAAATGTATCTGAAAATACAAACATCACTCCCAAGATTACTGAGCCACTTCCGATTTTTTTCCAGGATCATTTCACTAAAAGCTTTTGCTTAACAAGAGTCCTAACAATCGGAGAAAGCATTACAATAGATGGTAATCTATAAAGCAGAATTGGTTTTCCCTGTCAGGTTCATCAGTTTCTACCCGTGGGAAGTTACCAAGAACAAGGAAACCATCTGAGAAGCACCTCAAGAAAAAAAGGTTTGAAATTTCCAACACAACACATCAAGATGAAAGAGATCCACAAGATTCTTTTGCCAGTTACAGATTACAGATGCACATAAAGAGAGGTGAGGCATGAAACTAGCTAGCTAGCTATGAGGGTCAAGCTAATTACTTCCACAACAAGAGTGGTTCAAGAGCAAACAGAAACATGACATTGTGAACTTCCAGAAACAAACCAATACATTCACAGATTTCACTTCCTAAGAATCAATCAATTTGTGCGCGAGAAAAGAACAAGCAATCGTTTGTCAGATCCAAGCAGAAAACAAACGACACCGGAAGATCAAATCATAACCATAACTATCGGATCAGAGATGCGAAATTCAGATTCAACAATGGCACAAGATCGAAAACAGATCCAGAATCCTAACACAGTAACCGT